TAGATGCCGGCTGCCCCGGGGAAGGTGCCTCCCTCCTCAGGTCGGAGGCATCAAAGGGCGGAGCCTCAGAGAGGGAACCCGGAGAAGCCCTTCGCGCCGCTGCCTCAACCACATCGGTGGGGGGAGCGTTGTAGATGCCCCCGAACGCGCCGCTACCGGACGGCGCCGATTCCAGGGGAGGCGTAGTGGGAGGAGCCACAGAGGCTGGTCTCCCATCCCTCTGCGCAGACTCCCCGCTGACTCCGCCCCCTGAGGGGGAGAGTGTAGGCATCAGGGGAGTCGAGAAGGACTCAGAGACCGGGCCCTCCGGTCCCGACTGCTGCGCCCTGAAAGGAGTCACATCCCCCACCTCGAGGGACAAGGTAGGCGCCCGGAGCAGCCGGCTTGACTGGCCTGGAGTCTCCGCCATTGTAGAGGGCGGGGCTCGAGCAGCAGAGGAAGAAGAGGCGCTTCCCGCCCTTTTTGGAGCTGCTTTTTTTCGCTGCAGCGGCTCGCGGCCATCTTGTGAGGCCTTGTCCTTAGGCCTTTTGGGCTTCTTTTTGGCTAGCCCCATAGCCTGATCCAGAAGAGGCACAGCCGAGAGCGCTGGGGCCGCTTGTTGCGGCGATGGAGCAGGGGGAAGTAGGGCCCTCTCGTAAAGCGCCGCCTTAAGCCTCAGCTCCCGGTTCTTTCTAGTCTGTGGCGTGAAGGCCATGCAGACTGAACAGGCTTGGGTGAGGTGACCCTCTCCAAGGCATGCTAAACATAGGGAATGCCCATCAGTGTCAGGGTAGGTGTTGGGGCATTTGGAGCACCGCTTAAAGGAGGTAGTGGCCATCACGCCAGAAGCACGTGAAGGCCGGTAGTTGAAGGAATGGTCAAACAGTCCGGGTAAATCGCCAGCAAACAGAGTCCAAAACAGAGTCCAATACCTTTGTCACAAATCAGTCCAGTCAAATTGTCCAAAGATCAATCCAGTCAAAGAAGCTCGCAAAGAGAAAGAGGTTCTCAAGCTACTGCAATAGCGCGGAAAAGAGAACTGCCGGCTAGCCCCGCCCTCGGGCTACTTATACTCGAGGAGAGGGGGGGCGGGGCTAGTGGGCTCTGAAATTGTTATATTTTTATCTAGAAGGTTCCGAAAGCTGAACTGCGCATGCGCACAAATACCAAATGTACGATTCACAGTGACTACGACAGGAAATAAACATAATAAAAAGAACAATAAAATAATAAACAGCAAGAAATAAAGAAAAAATAACAAAATGAGTAAAAAGAATATACAGATGCCCAAAAAAGGAGAGAGGGAGTGAGGAGAAGGAAAGACAATAAAGGAAATCAGCTGGGGAATTTAATTAATGAGACTCCCGTGGTCCATCACATACAAAAAGAAAAATCTTCAGGGTGGGACCTTTTACATCCTAATCAAGAAAGAGCAATTACTAGGAGGGTGCTTCGGACAATTACAGGAGAAAGAATTAAGGTTAAGAGCAAGCTAGTGGGCAGACGCATTAATATGGACAAATTTACAACTCCTAAAATGAACAAAAACCTTACAACCATAGAATCATAGAATCATGGAGTTGGAAGAGACCTGGTGTGCCATCCAATCCAACCCCATTCTGCCAAGAAGCAGGAATATTGCATTCAAAGCACCCCTGACAGATGGCCATCCAGCCTCTGTTTAAAAGCTCCCAAAGAAGAAGCCCCCACCACACTCCCTCCAGGGCAGAGAGTTCCACTGCTGAACGGCTCTCACAGTCAGGAAGTTCTTCCTCATGTTCAGATGGAATCTCCTCTCTTGTAGTTTGAAGCCATTGTTCCAGTGTCCTAGTCTCCAGGGAAGCAGAAAACAAGCTTGCTCCCTCCTCCCTATGACTTCCTCTCACATATTTATACATGGCTATCATGTCTCCTCTCAGCCTTCTCTTCTTCAGGCTAAACATGCTCAGCTCTTTAAGCCGCTCCTCATAGGGCTTGTTCTCCAGACCCTTGATCATTTTAGTCGCCCTCCTCTGAACACATTCCAGCTTGTCAATATCTCTCTTCAATTGTGGTGCCCAAAATAGGACACAATAACCACACTAACAAGAAGACTCTCCATACAAGGGGAACCATCTCTAAAAGACCTTATGTTACAATTACAGAAAATACAGGATAACCAAGAAAAAATGCAGGAAAGTCTGCAAAAAACATTCCAAGACGAGACAGGGAAACTAATAAGCGAAATCAAAGAAGAAATCTCGGCAATCAAAAAAGATGTCAGAGATATCCAACAAGAATGAAAGATAATTCAAAAAGAGAAAGCCAGCATTACAAAATCATGTGATAAGATTAACCAGAAAATTAGGGTTTCCATTGTTGTTGTTGTTGTTATCAAGGAGAGTGAGTGGGGTTGGACTGGATGGCCATTGGGGTCCCTGATTAACCAGAAAATTAGGGTTTCCATTGTTGATGTTGTTGTTGTTATCAAGGAGAGTGAGTGGGGTTGGACTGGATGGCCATTGGGGTCCCTTCCAACTGATGGGTTCCATAATTATCATCCTCATCATCATTATCAAGCAGAACTGGATGGCCACCTGTTGGCAGGGCTTGCATTGTGTCTTCCTGCTGACAGGAGTGAGTGGGGTTGGGCTGGATGGCCATTGGAGTTCCTTCCAACTCAAGGGTTCCATAATAATAATAATAACTATTATTATTATTATTATTATTATTATTATTATTATCAAGCAAAACTTGATGACCACCTATTGCATTATGTCTTACTGCCTGACAGGAGTGAGTAGGGAATGTGTCCAGAGGAGGACGACTAAAATGATCAGGGGTCTGGAGAACAAGACCTATGAGGAGCACCTTAAAAAGCTGGGCATGTTTAGCCTGAAGAAGAGAAGGCTGAGAGGAGATATGATGAGGGTCATGTATAAATATGTGAGAGGAAGTCACGGGGAGGAGGGAGCAGGCTTCCTTTCTGCCTCCCTGGAGACTAGGACACAATGGAACAATGGCCTCAAACTACAAGAGAGGAGATTCCATCTGAACATGAGGAAGAACTTCCTGACTGTGAGAGCCGTTCAGCAGTGGAACTCTCTGCCCCAGAGTGTGGTGGAGGCTCCTTCTTTGGAAGCTTTTAAACAGAGGCTAGATGGCCATCTGTTGGGGGTGCTTTGAATTCAATTTTCCTGCTTCTTGGCAGAATGGGGTTGGACTGGATGGCCCATGAGGTCTCTTCCAACTCTATGATTTTATGACATTGGACCCGGCCCTGGGCTCACTCTAGGTAAGGTAAAATCTTGGAGACAGGGAGGGCTGGGCAGGCAAGAAGAACTGACCAATTCAAGCAAGCATTGTATAAAACAATCAGGCAATTGCTGGTAAGATACATGGTTGACAGCTTAGAAAACACACAGCATGGCAGCTCCCATGGGTTTATTGTCTTATCCTTCCTTTCAATTTTAGAGGGAATTAGGAAAAGTTTAATCCACTTTAACTGTTTTATGTTTACATGTTTGATGACAAGCAGCCTTAAGTTTATAAGTGACAGCTTTCCTGCTAAGAGCCTACATGTCATAAGCATTTGCATTAAAATTACCATATTGAAATCTAATCTGATTTATTTTTATTTTTATTGGGTGTGCGTTGGAAGAGGGGTGGTCTTATACGGCGAGTATATCACAAACTCCATATTTTAACTGGAAAATTTGGGGGGTCGTCTTATACACCCAGTCGTCTTATATGCCGGAATATACAGTAGTTACTTAGATCAATTACCAGTTTTCTAATTAGGTCAATAAATGGCCCATTTATTTCTCCACATCTTGTGTCTGGTCTCTATTTCCTGGTGGGGATTCAATATACATTTGGAATTAGGAATCTGGAATTTTCTTTCATACTTTTAAACACTGTATCATCTGCTGGACTTTCTATGTAAGTGTTGCTGTCATATTTTTTACTGGTTTTAATTTTATTTTGATTTAACTGTTTTTAACTATTCTGTTAATTCTTAACTACCGCATGTTCATTTTAACTTTTGCAAACCACCTCGAGACCCAACAAATCAATTTTTTAAAATGAAGTCTCCTCCATGCAAAAGTGTGCAGGATTATCTATGACTTTGAAAGGAATTTCTCTCTGAATATTAAAGCAGAAGAATATTGAGTAAATCCTATAGCAAGCCTCTTCCAAATGAAATTTTGTTAGTGAAAATTGAGACAGAGTGGTGGGTTTATCTCATTATTTATTTCAGTTCTGTGTGTGCAAGGAAATATCCATTCCTTCAAGCAGAGCTATTAGTCTATGCCAGGGAAATACAGAATATACAGAATAGAAAGTTCCCTGAGGAACATTACAGAAGAAGTTAGCTTTTGTGTTGTCGTAAGTACAGAAAAAAAATGTTTTGACCGTGTGAACTTTATATTTAATGATTTCTGTCTTGTGATACACAGGTTAAATTGATTTGTTGGTTCTTGCCAAAAAAATACTGTAGTGACAGAATAAAGGGAACAAATTAACCACAGTACAGAAACAAAATAAGGAACTGACACTACCAACTACTGTTCTCCATTAATTTAGGTTCTTCGTGGCAGCCAATAATAGTATATCCAGAATGTATTTATTATAATTATCTTGCCTATAAAAAAAAGATGCATTTATGAAAGAGAGTCCACAAGTATTGCCACAGCTTTCACAATTTTCTTCTTTTGATCTGTGGATGCATGACGTCCACGAACAGTTTGGGAGACTCCTTAACAAGCAGTTCATAGATTAAGCCAGCGCTCCTTCCATCCATGTCCACCAAATGTTACAAAAAAAAAAGGAGGGGGGGGGGTAATAAAGGAGCCAGTGTCTCTGGTGGGAAGGCACAAGCCCCTGACTGTAAGAAGACATGTGGAGTATGACAACTTGAGGCGTTTCCCATTCCATACCACGAACAGAGTCTGGAAATGAAACAAGACCCAGGCTCCAATAAAGTGGATTCTTTCCAAGCAGTTGAGAATCTTTGGACAGCTGCAATTAGAATGGGAAGTTTCAGAGTCTGGGGCGAAACAAGAAAACAAACATTCAAATCCAAAACCACTTCTCACCTAGAACCGAGCTGAATGCACTTGTCCAATGAGCTGCAAGGAGATAAACAAAGCGCCTGAGATCTCATGGAAAAACTGCCCAGATGATCTGGTGTGTGAAGAAGAGCTATTTTTTGCCATTGCCAAATGCACAGAAGATTCTGTAGAAACAAGCAAGGCAACGACAAACATTTTGGAGCTTCAAGACAGCTTGGAAGAAGGCCAGATGAACAACTGTAAAGAAGGCCCCCTTCCCAACAATGGCATCTCAACAAGCCAAAGCTCCTTGCAGTGCCACTTTGTCAGCCTGAAGCAGCAGATCGCCCAGCAGAAGGCAGAGTATGAAGCGAAGGTTTTCAGGTAAACATTCAATTTATGAAATGCCTAAAACTGGGGGTTTTTTTTCCTTTGTATGTTAGCTACTGCAATCAATAGGGCAAGGACTTTATATTGGCTTATGAATACTGTGTACAGTAATATATTGGTTTCAGAAAAACTGCTACTGAAAACCCATTAAAATTACTATTTTACATACACTGACAATGTGCTATAGTTTTAACTATAAATTTTAAAGGAACAATTCTAATGACTGAATTTGCCCTTTAAAGCCAGAATTACAATTAAGATTTTTCTCCCAAAAGTAAAATAGTAAAATATTATATATACTTCACAAGTACTGGTGAGTCTAAATGTAGTTACGAAATGATTGGTTTATTAGCAACAGGAGATTATTATTATATTTTCCAAGCCATTCTTCATCTGCATAAAACGTACCGCCTAGTACAGTGAGGTTTGGGCTGCTAGTGACATGTCCATATTTGCGCCTGGGGTCCTTGAGATTGGATAAAAGATCAATGTGTGACAATGGCGATTGCAAAAGCAATACACATATTGGATGCAGAAACAAATCTAGTGCTTTTGGATTAAGGCGTGTCAGCAGGACATAGCCATCCTTCAGGTTTCCTGTTTAATATTAGAAGTTGAAAATAAAGTACTTGAAGAGCAATATATTTTCAAAAGTAACTGTATCACAAGATAAAGGCAGGGAAGAGACTGCAAAGTGGAAAACTACACTGCCTGTTTTTATGCCAACAGCCTAGAGCAACAGAACAAAGAATTACAGTTAGAGATTAAAGATCTGCATTCAAAACTGGGACAGCAACGGAAGTGGTATCATTTGGTGGAAATTAAAATGCGCAATGCGGAGAGGGCACATGAAGATGCAGAGAGAAGGAATCAACTCCTTCAAAAGGAAATGGAAGAATTTTTTGATACTTTTGGAGAACTGACAAATGAAATAAAGACACCAGAGCAAGCTGCTCAACAGTTTTAGATGCTCATTAGCCTGAAAATGAAACAATGCCTTCCAATTACAATTCAAATGCAAAAGGTAAAAAATCCTGGACTTTTTCTTTTTAAAGTAATATAATCAGAGCATTATAAAAGATTCTTCCTGCTTATATTTTAGATAAAACATTTAAATGCTAACTTGATAGAATGGTGTCCTGTAAATTATGTAAAAACCAAAATTGTTCACTGTAGAGAAATGTTCTTTTAGACCAGGATTAAGATGTTTAATTAAGAGGGAGGGCATGGAATATGGGAAGATTTGGAATGAAGCAATTTTTTTGAAAAATGTCAGGTTCTAGGAAAGGTTGCAAAAAGAGACCATTGGGACTACAAAAAAGAGCATCTCTTATCTGGAATTCCAAAATCCAAAGTCCTCCAAATTCAAAATTGCTCAAATAGCAATACCTTTGTTTCCTGATAGTTCAATACACAGAAACTTTACTTCATTAAAAAATATTGTGCATAAGATTACCACTGGGATATATATATAAGCTGTATGTGAAACGTCAGTGAATGTTGTGCAAAATACTTCCTTTGGGGTGAGAAGGATGGGGCATAAATGCAATGACTAAATAAATAATAAATATGAAGCCAGAAAGAGCAATAGAAAAAATATAAGGTAGGGACACATTGCAGTGTCTCATTTGAAAAAAGTGTATCAGAACTCCATGGAAGTTCATACAACACAGGATGGGATGGTGGAATGATATATCTTTGGAACAGGTCCATTTTATATAGAACCCCCCGCCCGAAAAGGTGGTATTTTGCACAACAGAGCTTATTTACACAGAATGGTGTCTTGGATAAAACAAAGTTTCCCAGATTTTTCTTGGTCCAGAACGCCGCTATAAACTCCATCTGGATAATGTGTATCTTGAAAAACAAATGTCAAGGTTCACAGCATTAACCATTATTTTGGGTTTAAAAATCAGTTTATTTCCTACTGTTTGAAGTGCATTGCCCTAATTTTTGGAATTACAAAATATTTTCCATTTTATAATTATTTGTGTTCCATTGACCTCTGTGTACCAGAGCAATAAAATATGTTTGATGCTTTTTTACTACTTGTTTCAAACAAGGAGGTTTAGTTTTTGTGACAATCAGAAAAAAGATTTTTGGAAAGGTTTTTGTGCAGGCTCAGCCAAATGTGCTTGCTTTAAGTACAAAACAATGGCATTCCATTAAAAGTAAGGAGCTGTAAATAAAAGATCACCTCATTATTGTTGCATTTCTTGTCTTCTTGTTCTTTCTGACCCATTAAAAGACATCTGTACCACATACAAAAGAGGTTTTTGTCACCTTTAAAACAAATACCATATATACCCAGGTAGAAATTGAAGGCTTGGGTTCCAAAATTATTAATATGACCTGTGGAAAAATAAAAAATCATTCCACTGAGAGGGGTAAATGCTAACCTCTGGGGGCCAGTTGCCCCTGCCTGCTGCTGCCTTTTTCCTTCCCAAATATTTGAAAAGGCCAGTTGTGGAGAGACAAGAGGGGGTCAGGGCTTATTTAGGTCCTTCTAGAAAAGACTGAGCACTCTTGTCATTGAACAGTCTACTCAGAGAAAGGGATGGTTCCCTTTTTATGATGAGAGTTAAGGTACAGCACTCTCACTGACCCACAGATAGGTTTACCGAATTTTTTGTGATTAATTTGAAGAATACTTCCCAGCAATTCCATTAAAAATAAGTTCAGTACACACAGAACAGTAAACCGGAATTCTTATATACACTTTGTCCACATTTATTTCATTTTACAGTGTATTTAATATTGATGTTGTAAGACAGGACTACCAGGGGACAGAATCCAAACTTAAACACTAAAAGCTAAAGTTTAAAACTTTACTATCAATAACATTCTTTTCAAAAGTTAAGCTATATTGGGAGGAGGCAACTAATCTTTTTGAAGTTACTAGGACATAAAAAAGTTTGCTTCCATTTTCCACAGAGCATATTCTTATTGCATAAGCACCAAGATTAAACTATGTCAAGAGCTTCATTTCATAGGCAGAACAGGCCACTTCATGTATCTATACAATTAGACTTCAAAGGATTTGTCTCAAAGCACACTGTAAACTAACAAAAATGACAGCTGAGGACTCCAAACATGATACAAATATTAGGGCTTGATGCTATTTTCTGTGATAATTTGTATATATAATTATTTGAACATACGTACGTACAATGTAACACCTTCAACAGGGAATAAACAATACTGGGAAAATGAATGCTTATGAATAGGGGAAATCTTGTTAATATCAAGGTAGACATGACAAAGCAATGTAAGGCCATTTTAAAAATCAACTTTTAAAATGATAGCACTTGATAGTTCGCCTACTTAGGTTATAAACTTAATATACTGGTATCTTCAGTATAAATTTGACTTAAATTATTGAGAGCTTTCTAAAGATATCTGATTGGGTTTGGGTAGTGGGAGATCTCAATGAATTCTGCCCTTAATGAAAATGTAACTGGATTACTTAAAGTGACTGAAACTAGGGAAAGATCCAGGGAAGTCCATTGGACTAAGACTGTCTTAGCCTAATGTGGCTCTATCTGAAATGCAGGGTCTTCAGACCGATTCAAACAACTACTTTGGGGGATTCATTTCAACTCAGTTATATCCGGAGGTTGAAAATATATCCACAGTGGAGGCTTGAATGTGCCACCCTCAGTATATTTACCTCCTTGAATTTGCATGGCACAAACACTATTTGGCATGAGCAATCTAAGATTGTATGAGGTTGCTTTTGGAAAGCTGTAGATACATTAAAACAAACAAACAAACAAACAAACAAACAAACAAACAAGCCAGACATTAAACATTTATCACTATATCTCATCTTAATAGAGTTGAGCAAAATACTTGAAACATGCTTACAAATTCCTCTAAAAATCTTAGAATGATATACTGGACTGATAGCTTTGTCTATTAGTTTAAAAAATTCAATTGAGCAAAGTTAGTTGTATGACACTTCTGGATTTACTAGTCATGTTTGGCCCCTGAAAATCATTTTTATTCATTACCGAGTACAAGATTCAAATAGGCAACAGCCTCCTGTTTAAAAAAAATCTACACTTTTCTGCAACAATCCACAATATTTCTGAAAAGAAAAATGAAATACTCTGGAAAAGTTCAATAGCCTAACATAAAGCAACAATCATTATAAATATGTGTATATAAAATGTCAACCATATTGTTATGCCAATTCTTGTTGAAAAAAGTCATCTAGTAATCAAAAAGTCATTAAAAAGTGTGCAGATTTCTTTTTCATTCACCACTTTTTCTCTAGAAGATTATAGCACCTCAATGTAGAATCGGCTATGAAAAATCTGAAAAGACACAATTCCACTACTCATACATGTTCCTTCAGCAATCAAATATGGCCCTCATTAATGTACATAACTGACTTTCATCAAGAACGTGAAGAATGTGATTAAGCTGTCTATCGTATTTCACTCGAAGACACCCACAGCAGCACTAAGCCTGACATCTGCAGAAATTCATGCACTTTTGATATAAATGCTGAAACCATCAAGGCTTCTCATAAATGGCATCCACTGTCTATATAACATGTAGAACTTTTTGCGGGAATCTGCATGCTACAAATATTGAAAAGCTACTTTGTGATGCATAGCTAAATTTTAACGTGGAAACAAAAAAAAATCAAACGAAGGATCTGATCAGTAGCACCGCCATTCCTAGTCTAAGCCAGAAAGCCATCAAGCACTTAAGACTCATGGGAATCAATGTAAGAAGCTCACAGTTAAACTTCACAAAAGTGCAGACAGATTTTAAAAGCACTTAGCAGAATGGAGTTTGGGATTTTAGTTTTGCATTTCAGAAACAGATATTTCAAACCTATTTTATGCTGTGTTGTTGTAGGTTTTTTCGGGCTGCATGGCCATGGTCTAGAGGCATTCTCTCTTGATGTTTTGCCTGCATCTATGGCAAGCATCCTCAGAGGTAGTGAGGTCTGTTGGAACTATTTTATGCTGTGTTTTAATTCATAAAAGGTGTGCCTAAAGATTAATTTCAAATCATAAACTTCAATTTCCTACCTCCATCCCTCAAGCCCCAAGAGAAATGAGGTTAACAAAGACCACAAGAAGCCTTCCAATGCACAGAAGGACCCTTATAGGAATGGAGTCCTATTTTTAGCTCCCTCTTTCCATTGTACAGGCAAATGATTGTGGACAGTCAGCGTACCAGCTTTTCTAGGTAAAGGAGGCCGCTGCATGCTTTCTATTTCATCATGTTTTCTACTCCATTTGGGGAAAGCAAATAAGCTCCAAGGTTGGGCTCCTTAGCTGAGCAAAAGGAGCAAGCTGGTGAGAACCTCTATACAAGCCTAACACAAACACAATGCAGGTGAATGGAACAAGGTGGTACACTTATGTGCCATGGGAATCCTGCCATAAACAGGGGCTGTGCTTGTGCTAGGCTGTTTCTCCAGTTTTAGTGTATAAAATTAATGTAACAGCACAGAAAGAAGGCATGGTTGTGATCAGAAGACTCTAAAGGTGCTTCAAAAAACAATTAACAATACAGGTTGCTGTGCAAAAATGCAGGCACTCTTTTGAAAAAAACTAAGCAGCACTTATAACAGAAGGAAAAATAATAAAAGCTTAAATACACAACAATTTAAATCTTAAACATGTTTAGGTTTCAGCTTTGGAATTAGTTCAATTTGGAATTCTAGAAACCAATGAAAAGAACTACTTCCAAAGTAGTAGTTTTTTGTTTTATTTTTTAAATTTGTAAAAGATTTGAAATATAGGAACCAGACCTATCTAAAATATCCACAATGAGTCAATGGCACTGAAATCCATCATCAGAACTACAACAACATATATAAAATACAATTGTTTTATAGCTAAAAATGAAGTATGTTTTTTTTTGTCTTGCACATATATTATGAAAAGATGCCTTGCCATTATTTTGGAGGCAAAATTCACAACATGCATAGTAAACATGTTTCCTAAGCAACTGTACTAAAGAAAAATAAACCAAACAAATTACATTAAAATGTTGTTTCACTGTCTTATATACCTGAACATATAAATAGTGATTGTGCAATATTTGTGACAAAATAATGAAATCAATTATCAGAGAGAGAGCTCAGGGAGCTTAACCTGAATTCAGCTTATGTATACAGCAACAGATATGCACACTGCATTAGTTTTGAAAAAAAATCTCTTAAGTACACACATTCACAATTTCCCAGGACATATTCCGACTCCTACAGTATCAACTAAATGTAGCATCAAGCCCAGATCATTTCCCTACTACATACAATTGCTTCATCTATATGCAGAATTTTACAGACACCACCAATACTGGACTGACAAGAGTTAATGAAAACTCCTTAATTTACAGTTTTGTACCTTTTTTTTACAATCCAGCCACCTAACGTAAAACTATATTGCTGTAAGACTGAATCTGTATTCCACTTGGCATGGTCAAAAAGCTGTGTCCCCATTTGGAAGGAAGTTTTCAGGCATGTGTAAAGAATGCCATTAATTTTGTAAAATCAGTGTGCCAATCAATAAATGCTGAAGTTTAGAATGTTTTAGCACAACAAATACTGACATTATTTTCCTGAAAGGTGGTAATTTTGGCCCAGAGCTTTAGATCCATGTTGTTATTTTTAACTGCATTAGGCCTGGATCCAAAGAATGTCATGCCTAGTGGAGTTTTGATATAGTTTACAGCTCTAGTACATGGAAGTATCTTCTGAATCGGAGAATTGTTGCATGAAACACTTTGTAAGATGGAACATGGTCTATTATTCAATGGAAAAAGGAGAGCCAAGGCACATTGGGTGCAACTCAAGCTAAATCACCAATCTAATCCTAGCCCCTCTCTTGAAATTTACATACTTTCCAATGAAACAAATGTAAACATAATTAAAATGTTAAATCTAAGCATCTCATTCTGCAACAAGAAGTTTGAAAAGATGGATCAGTAAAAGTACTTGTTTTCAGCTGAATACGATGCATATGGATGCCCAAATAAGTCAGTATTTGGGTACACAAATAACCCCTTTAAATTAGATTTTATCAGCCATTTTTTAAAAAACAATTCTTTCTAAAATAAAATGGCACTATTCCAAAGGCTTTGTATAAGCCTCAGAATGCAGGGCTTTCTCATACATTAATAGGAAGCAGCAGAAGCATTGGTGATTTGTGCTTCCTTTGCACTTACATTGCAACAGCATGCGAAGGGAGACATTTCATGCATTTCCCCAGAGAAAGCCCTGTGTGCCTCATGTTTACTGCTTCCTGAAATGTATCCCCCACCATCAGTTCTCAGTTATTTATTCGTGGTTTGTGCACAGCAGACACATGGCTTCCCTTACATAATTAATCATAAATATGCATGTTCACATGAAGTAATCTCTTCAGAGCACTTCCAACAACCAAGACTGAGAAATGGGTAACTTCCAATTTTGTAATGTTTCTAAACCAGTGACAAGGGCACATGCATAAACACCTCATACATCTATTCCATTTCTGCAATGCTATTCAGCTACTCAATATATATTTAAAGTAATATGTAGAGTATAGAATCTGAACATGTTACTAGAAAATTTCTTCAGGTGAGCAGTTAAGAACAGGAAATACAATTTACTATTGGCACATTATGTCTATTAAGCATCTCACAATATGCTATAGTGGTCACGATGGGGATTTATGATTTGAAAACAAACTCCATTACTTACATCAACACGCGTAACTTCTAGAAAGATGAACACTGAAGCAACTAGAACACGCCAGACTACAGAAGGCAGAAAATATTTACCATATATAATTTACTAAATAAGAAATTACCCTTCTGAAATATAAACGCCCTTATGAGACCATTAAGAATAGAATGGATGCATGTTCTATCATACTTACATTCTTTTGTGACGATAAAATCAGTGCAAAATTTATGCTCCAGTTTTAGATTTTAGTCCTAACAATTATTCAATGACAATAGTTAGATTTTTATTTATATGAAAAAAAGATAGAATTAAACCATTTTCTCTTCTAAGGCAGGCACAGATATAATGCTACCAGAAAATTATCTGAGGTTAAATTACAGCAGTTGACCATTGAAATCATGTATTTTACTACTTGTCTCTTCCTGTTATGGCTGGATTTATTTTCTTAACCATCAAGTGACACTTAATCAATGCCATACAAACTGGTCAAAGGAATAGTAATTTGATTTATCTGAATAACATTAAATACTCTGAAAAAAAACATCTTGCAAGTTTGAGTATCTTTTAATCTTTTAATTCTACTTAATTTGATGCTGACAATTGACAATATATAACACTTATTTTTATGATTATTATTCATTAAGGTCAATTCGACCATGGAAACTTAGTGGAAGGGCTTCGACTGAGTTTCCATGGTTGAATTGAATTTCCTTAATGAATATAGTCCAGGTTTACTAAATGGAAAAACTAGGCACACAGAATAATATTTTAATTTACTTATAGAACTTTTTCTTTAAAAATGTTGTTAAGCACTAAGATGCCCATCATTTTAGTCTCGGTTTTTAAAAAATGGTTTAAGAGGTGCCCAACCTTTTCAGTCTGTGAATACAAGTACTATTTGGGGGGAAAGGGCTACGGCACTATCACAAAATGGAAGTTTTTGAACTAATAAAGAGTAAGGGGGGGGGGGGTTATCTCTCACTGTTTATATTTTACACATAACCTTGAGCCTCTTATGCTGCTGCTGTTGCTATCTTGAAAGGGTCATTCAACTTTGTGAATTAGAGAAACTAGAGGTGGTAGCTCTGCAGTGCTTTGACAAAGTCTTCCACCTCTGGTTTCTATAATTCACACTCTTTTGCCACCTCAGCTCTACTTTTCCCCACCCTGTCCTATTGCCCCAGCTATCTTCCACCCTTTCTCCAAACCTCTCTATTGCCTCCCCTCCCAACTCTCTCTGGACTGGTTTCCCAATCATAGCTCCTTTCCACCTCCCCATGCCTTCATTACACTTTCCCTCTCACACTGCCTTTCCCCTCTCCTTTACCATCCCATTCCTTCCCAAGTGGCCACTCAACTCCCACTTTTCTGAGGCTGCAGTCATTTTAAAATGGCCTCTATCTACAAGGAAGGAATTGGACTAAGTTTTAAACAGGAAGACAATGGGTGTTGGTGCAACAAGAGACACAAGGTAGTATTTTGCCATATTGACAGTGGCTGCATTTGGGCTACTGTTCATTCTGACAAAAGCAACCACTGCTTTCTCCCAGGCTTTATAATAAAAGTAATACAGAAAAGCTTGAGACAGAGTATGGTTTTCTTGTGTCCTCTTTGGCCCATGCATCAAGTATGTGAAAAATTTGTGCCTTGAACTTTGATTAGATACAGCTTATTTCGTGATGCCAAAATAACGGTCTGTGATTCATTATATTAGCTTAAATAATTGTGGTTAAACAATCTGTAGTTCAGTCAATGCAGAAAGCTACAAACACAGAAACAAAAGTTTTTAATTCCTTCTCTCAGCTATTGTGGAGGGGAGAGGGCAAAGCAATGTGTCAGCCTGGTGGAAGGCTAGCTTGTTACTATAACATGGTTTATGACATCCAAATGCAGCCCAGCATGTGAGGCTCTCTGTAATAAATACGTACATCCCATAATTGAGCTGGCACCAGTATGTTTCATGTTGTTCAGATAATAAAATGGGCATTTACCCCACAAAAGACCTCAGAAATGACCAATTTTTGATTTAGGTGATACACTTCAACTTTCATACAGTAAAGACAAGCCCTTCATTGCTTCTGAGGTGTGTTAGTGAATAACTGCATACTTTCCAATGTGTCAGAAGGAAAAATGGGAATAGATCTTTGCATGAATGTGTAGTTTCAGACTCTAGATAGAGTCACCAGGTGAAAAACAGGGCAGGTGACTGTACCTTCTATAACTGTGTAGAAAAGGGAATTTCTATAGATATTGCTTCGTATGCAAGCTTCACCTGCCCAATTTATTCTTCTTAACATCTCTTAAAGGTATAGGAGCCCTGTGCTGTTTTTCAGCTGGTAATCCTATCTAGAACACAGTACGACGACATGGTCTAGTGTATAATGGTGGAAGCATACACATCTAGATTCAGTGCACCACATGCAGAAATTGCAACTAGAAGCTCATGCAAGAAGCTGACTTCAAAAAAGAGCAGAGTCAAGCCATAAATAAATCAGTTATACCAACACTAAATTAAAAACATTTATAGAGGCTAGAGGTCCAGTTTTACAGCTGAGAAACATTAACTGCGCAATCAACTGCATGTTTACTCCAAAGTATGTCTTACAGTGTTCAATAGGGTTAAAGTCAAGCAAATACAGCATAAGATAAAACTGTAAATGACTGCCACACAGGATTCTTAAACAAAAAGAACAGCTGATCACGTGGAATGCACCTTTAAGTATATGCAGAGCATTTCCCTCACCACTGAACAATTGCACCGCCCTCCCAGTATTATAATTAAAGACTTAGATGTCAAATCTTCCCTACAGACCTGAGGTTCCAGCACTCCTGTACTTAAGACATTTTAGTACTACCCATGTATGTGGCCGATAAACTATAACCAAAGCTACATTATACAATTTTCTATGTCAGAATCCACTAGTTTTCCTCTTCACTTTCCTTTTAAACAACACTTGACTCACAACTCTTCATAAAACTTTGTGAAACATTGAGAAGTAACCTCATTACTGACTCTCAATGAAGACACAGCTAAGGACTGCTTCAATATCAGAAAGAACTCTCATAATATGTGAAGCACAGGCAGGGTATGTTTCAGGCATCACTTAATAACTACTGCTCTCCACTTTCCTTAGACACTCAGAATGCAGGAACAGTTCTAGAAATTAAATTAAATTTGTGTGGTGTGAATTTCCTGGGACCTAAAGCTGCAACAGAACAAATCTGACCCCTGCTAACTGCAAAAACACGCCAGCATTCATATAATCTCCAGAGCATCCACCAGTATTTCTGCCTCCATTCACCAAAATGTTGTGTTGTGTCCTTGAGTCACCACTTGAGAAAATAAAAGTATCAATTTTGTATCAAAAACAAAGTAAATAATTCCACGCTCAACTATCACTTGGCACTACAGTACAAACAGAATGAGACAATACGATGACTATATACTTTATAGAAAGTATACAAACACAATCTTTGAAAGTCTCACAGTAAAAAATAGTCCCAGTACAGTACTCACTCTTATAGTGGTTCTGGACATACAATGTAAACTTTGAAACTCTTCTTAGCATGTAAAATCACATACATTTAAACATACGTATGACATTTATATTTTTCCGAATTGAATTATGACAAGATTGATGTCAGTGAAACAGAGTTTCCTTTTTCAGTTTTAGGTTAGGTACATAACTACAATGCATTTAATTGAGAAGATTTTTTTAAACAGAAACAACAACAACAACAACAATTAGGATTGGCTGAAAGTTAGTCTGCAACAGCTTTCACACAGCTGTTAGTCAACATGCTAAAGGGTTGTGAAAGTCAAATGAGTGTAGAGCAACATCATTAAACCAGCAGATATAACCAATTTGTTATATTTGCCTCAAGATATTAAGAGGAAAGTAGTTATTTTCTGTTTGGTAATAAGATCTGGCAAAACGAAGGCTTCTCTGGCCACAACAGGACCTCCTACAAAAATCAGAATTGGGCAAGACATGATTTAGCCTAGCCTCTTCTCGTTCAGAAACTTTCATTTCCTGCAGCTTCCCATGTTGCTTGAACTGGGAATCCTGGTAACTATGCCTAGTCCTTCAAGCCAGTTTCCTTTGAAATGAAAATAGTCTAAGTTTGTCAATGTCATTTATACCAGACAATATGACAAACTAATTAATTAATATTTCAAGTGGAAGAGTCTAGATACCTTCCATTACCCATGCAGGAAGGGGAGGGGGTGGGGAGATGGGAAGGAAGCAAGCAAGTTCCAGAGGTGCCTGATGTCCTTCACATCTTGTCATACTATAAACTGCTAAAGTCCAACTATTGTTGCCATGTACTTTGTCCTTTCAAGAAAAGGAATCTGTTAGGAAAACATGTTGAAATGCTCTGCCAGTAGAACTCCAGGCAACATTAGAAATCAAAGTTTAAGGCCAAGCTGTCAAACATACTGACATCTTAATAAAGATCTTATTAACTGATTTGTTCTCTGCTTTTCTCATTTCTTCTCTCTTTATTCGATCCATCACTAAGTTGCAATTTGTGTGAAAGACCTCTTTGTATTGGTTGGTATATATTTGTCCATTATTTTTCTTTATATAATCTGCTATACATGTAATAGCTTACTATATAATATCCATAACCCACAGGGCTACACAACTACTTTAAAAAGTGCACAAGGGCTTTCACTTCCCAGCTTCCCTCTGCTGTAATCCCTTCCATCATCAGAAAAAGTCAGGAATCTTAAAGGTGAGGTGTGATGTGCAAAAACTGTATCAAGAAGGAAAAGTTGTAACCACACACACTTTAAAAATAACGGGTTTGGGTTCTGCAAGGACTTTAATTGCAAATGAATGTGTTTAAGATTATTTTTTTTTTAAAAAAAAACCTTCCTGAACACATTTACCTGCAATTAAGTTCTACTAAAACTTATGAAATGTCTGGGTAAATGTGCTTTGGAAGGCAGCAAATGCCAAGAACTCAGGGATTGCATATATTAAATAGCCACCATAAACAGATATTTCATGTTCACTCATATCTCAATTACAGCATTTCAGTGAAGTTCATATGTTCATCTGCAATTTTGAAGTGATAAGGTATTAATTGATTTATATCAATATTTGAAATAGTCCTAAGACTCAAGAGCTAATTAAGAGGGAAACTTAAAGAGTAGCACATGCAACAGCCTCCTGGACCAGACTGAAAGATTTGTTGTAATAGTTGTTGCCAAAGAAAGCTCACACTATACAAGACTAATTATGTTGCAATCCTATACATTGACATAATAAGATCCATTATTCAATGAAATGTATTTTAAAGTAAGCATGTATAAGACCGTGCAGTTAGTAAAGTGCTGGTGCCAGAGCAGGAATGTGGGATATGCAATCTGCCTTTAGACCTTTTTCTGCTTGTGGGACATACATATGTCCTTGATAATCCAGAAATCTTCATTTTTTCTGGATTTTGTGATAAACCTCAGATGAACAATTTAGGATTGTCTTTCAACTTTTGCCAGCCACTATCACATCCATAAGGATTCTGTGTGGTGTTTGAGCACTGGATTACAACTCTGGAGGATCCTGGTTAAATCTCTTTTTACCCATAAAACCCACTGGGAGATCTGCGGCAAATGACACTGTCTATGCTTCAGAAGGCAATGGCAAACCTCTGAACAAATCATGCCATTATATGGCCTTAGGGCCACCATAGTGTAGAAATTACAAAGGCAAACTACAACTATCGTATCTGTAATGCACAGTGCTACCCCACTTACAAATAGCTTTTGAGTAACAATCATTTATGGAGCTAGGAGACAACTGAAAAGATTCAAGCCGACTGAAGGCTAGTGTTTGTCATCAGAGTTGCTAAAGAAAGGTGAGGAAGCAATTACATTTTTAAAATCTTATTAAGTCTTTTCTCATATGGTACAGAGTCTAGAACACTCTTTTTAAAGATCCATCACCCTTTATAATATATTCTGAGTGTTAATGTATTTTAGATCCAAATTAAAGTGTTTATATACTTTACATAACATAGTGGTCCCTTAGAAAAACATCCATACTCTCAGTAGGAATATGTATGCCTATTCAAGGGATCAAAAATACAGCATAATTCAATATTTGATTTGATTTTACATGGCAATGTTGTAAGAGAAGGAGCAGGCAAGGATTTTTACAGGTGTCATGAATCACTTTAAAAAGACCAAAATACCCTATTTTAGAAATGCACTAATTCATAAATTCATGCAGTTAAGAAAAACTCCTACACTACCATTTTTTAAAACTTATTCCACCTACTCCAAAATAAGAGCACTGGAAGAACACATTCAGAGAAGCAGTTACATTCAGATGTAGAGATGAAATAAGAATTCACAAGTTTGTTTCTTCCATGGAAAGGTATACAAAATTATTTGGGGATGGTGAGAAAAAGGCCTCAAGAAAAGAGTGCTATGCACAAACACAATTGCATCTATATTTTACAGTACTGAGAGTACCAGCAAGATACATTAATATGTCAGATGTCTGTAATCATATTGATAAGAAAGAGGATATACATTCAACAACATTTACAATGGCTTTAAAAAATTATATTGACTATGTGCATGTTTCAGAAGTCTGGCCAAATGCCCAGGAACTCCTTTAAGCTTGGAGTTATTTTAACTGCTCACCTGATATAGGCCAAAATAGAATAAGTTACAGTAATGCCTATATTTGTGTTGCCTTGAGATACAAAGTTGCTTTCGTTCTACAATATTAAGCAGACAGTCTTGTGGCAACTGAGTAAAGTCACAGGCATTATTTTAGAAGAACATGCAGAACATGGAGGTTTTTTTTTCCTACTTGGTTCCATGAAACTTACAAGCAATTCAGGCCCAAGAGAAATAAAAAATAATTCCCAATGTTCAATTTTCGGACATGATCACCGGCATCCTTCAAGTGTTCCTGTCAAAGCATCAAGGCTGCTGTCTGTGTCTGAAGCCAGTGTTTGTTCTGTTGACATGGATGAAATGTCATTGATTGATGATGACTGAGAAGGGCTGGTATTGCTATTCACTGCTGCATCTGTGCTAAGTAAACCAAGCATAAGAAAATCTGAGGCAAGACATGGTTGAGAGCATAGATGACATTTTAGTATCCACAGAATTCTTTCTCTAAACAAAATAGCTTACTGATGTATTTATACAAGGAATACATATGAACATTCAATGCATATTAAAAGTGTTTTCCTTAAGATAAAATAGCTGTGGTCATCAAGTATGTTTAGAAAGTAAAATATTTAGAGGAAATTTTAGAAAAAGTAGCTAATCTTACACTGCAGATGTTTATCAAAAGGTTGTATTTCCTTTCTTTGGCAATCTTTGATGTGTACAATTACCAAAACAGTGTGATATGGCAGCTTAAAAAGCCAATGTGACTCTATGCTACATCAATAGGAACATAGTGTCGAGATCAAGGGAAGTCACTGCTTTGGTCAGATCTCACCTAGAATTCTGAGTCCAGTTCTGGGCCCCACAATTCAAGAAGGATATTGACAAGCTGGAACATGTCCAGAGAAGGGCAACCAACATGGTCAAAAGTTTAGAAACCATACCCTATGGGTAGCAGCTGAGGGAGATGCTGATTGTAAGGCCGCTCTGAGTCCCCTTCGGGTTGAGAAGGATGGGATATAAATACAGTAAATATTATTACTACTACTACTACTACTACTACTAATAATAATAATAATAATAATAACAATGTTTAGCTAAAAGGAAAGAAGGCTGAGTGGGGACTTAATAGCCATGTTAAATACTTGAAAAGATGTCACATTGAGGAAAGGGCAAGCCTGCTTCTTGCTGTCCTGGACACTTGGGCACAGAGCAACGGATTCAAACTGCAGGTAAAGAGATTCTGCCTAAGCATCTGTCAGGGTGATTAGACTCCGTGTTCCTTCGTGGGTTTGGGTTTAGACTGTATGGCCATAGTGATTGCTTCCAAATCTATGATTTTTTGATTCTATAATTCTAAAATGTTTTCACCTATTACAGACAGATTCTGCTCATACCATTTTTCAGAGGAAAATGCAGATTTCTACAAAATTGTAATTGTGCACAGAAAAAAAATCACTTTCACATACAGGCAGTCCCCAAGTAATGGATAAGATCATTCGGTAGATTTGATCTTAAGTTAAATTGTTTGCAAAAGAGAACAGGTACATTTTTAAGTGTAACTCCAGCCAAATATGTGTGTGTCTGTGTATGTGTACGTGCACACGTGTGCTTTGGATAGCATAGGGAAGGGTTAACACCTCTGTGGTGTTTGCTTTGCTGTCTGTGCCCTGTTCAGAAGATTTCACCTCACTTTCTGTCCCTGTGATAACTGGATTTTGAAAACTTTGGCTTGCTGTGGAAACAAGAATTGGTGAGAAAACTTTAATGGAGACACCTTTTCCTCATGATAACTCTTACAAGAGTGAATTTCCCTTCCTAGGGGTAGATCTCTCACACATCCTTGTTGTCTTACCCCTGTTCTTAACTATGAGTCATTTTGCAAATTTGATGTTTGTAACTCGGAGACTGCCTGTATTGTATTTTTTCATGGAAAAATTCACTCAGGGTATAATACAGATATTGGCATTACGGGGTATGCTTTACTTTTTCCTTGATGAATGGAAAAAACACCTCACTCATTCATGTCATACTCAAGTTATCTAAAGCAAGGAAACTGGAAATGTGACTGTAAAGACCTTTTTTGTGTCAGGAGGACTTGCAAATTGCTTCCGGTGTGAGAGAATTGGCTGTCTGCAAAGACGTTGCCCAGGGGATGCCCAGATTTTTTTATGTTTTACCATCCTTCTCTCATGTCCCTGCATGGGAAGCTAGAATTGAGATGGGAGCTCACCCGGCTCCCCGGATTCAAACTGCCAACCTGTCGGTCAGCAGTACTGCTGGTACAAGGGTTTAACCCATTGTGCCACCGGGGGCACAGACATTTAGAATAAGAAGCAGCTTCTTCTTAAGAAACAGCTTCTTCTTTCCTTTCTGGCTGCAATCCTGTATATAAAAGTTAAATCATTTTCCTAGGGTCAGAGTTATTTTAATATCAGTGAAATTCTTATCCTATAGCAGTAAGGAATGCAGTCATACCATTTTTATTTCTCACTATGATAAAACATATATTTCCTTATGTCAACAGGTATCACTCAGAATGCTGAAGAAAGTCTCCCTGTCTCCTGTTAGCTCAACAAAATGGGAAACAGAACATTTATGTACATTCCCTACAGTCACTCCTTACAAACCAAACCTAGACACACATAGTGAATAAAATCAAAGCTATTTTAAATCAGCCTTTAAGAAGATAGGACATCTCTCCAACCATATACATTTTAAAACTTGGAAGGTTACAATAGAAGAAAAATTGCATTATTTAATTTACACAATCAAAACAGCATGAAAAACTCTTAGAAACAAAAGCAAACCATTACATCAATGACTAACCTGAAGGTTGTTCTTTTACTAAACCATTCTTATTCCTTTCTTCCCAATCCATTACTTCTTTATAAATTAGTTCTGCATATAAAAAGGAAGGGTGAGAAGGAAAAAGAAAGAAAACAGCTAATGTACTTTCATTATTTTAAAAAAATCTTGAACTATTTAAGACAATCTATGACTTCATCTTCATGTACATTGCCATCAGAAATATACAATTAAAATAAGTCTAATAATTAATTATTATTATTATTTTTGTACCCCGACTCCATCTCCCCAAAGGGATTCTGGGCAGCTTACATGGGGACAAGTCCGAACAGACATAGATTAAAAATACAACACAATAAAATAAACAGCATCATAATGACCTATACATATGAAAATAAGGATGTGAGTAAGCCTCCAATCCTATTTTTATCAACTCTACTCTTATATAAGGTTTTTTACAATGGGAAGTAAAAGATCTCGTATAAGAATAGAGTTCATACATATGCACATTGTACATAGCTAGAACTATATATAGAAATAAATATACTGGCACTACAACCATGACGTAATGTGATAGATGTTTTGGGTATACCCAACCATCAAACAGAACAAGAAATAATATAAAATTCAACAGGAAATCCATAATAATCAATAATAACCTTACCACATTTTACTGATTTGGTAAATTGTATGATAGCAGTTTCAATCTCTGTAGCAGACTAAGTTACTGATTTTATTTAGCTGTGCAAAAAAGATAATCATTTTGCAAGAGGCACATATTTTTTCAATATTATTTAAGGCATTTGTGGCCCATTCTGTAAAAAAATATTCTCAGAGCATCTCAACATTGATTACCTTTCCATTCTTCAATTGCATGTTCTCTTTCTTCTAACTGTGCATCATAGATTTGAGGTGGTGGCTACAAGAAAACCCCCAAAATGTAAAAGGTAATGCTTCCACTTTATCTAATGCATATACAGGAAACAAAAAACCATGCATATACAAGAAACAGAAACGATTGCTTATTAAGTTGGGGGCTAACAGTTTGTGGAAGTTTCAAGTGTGAGTTACATGACAATGTAAAAGAAAATGTACAAGGAACAAGAAAACATCTAGCAGGCTTCTTAGAAACTTCTCCCTTTCTTGAGTTTCTATGCTTACTGTATAATGGATAATTAACTAGCATATTTAACTAAAAATAGTGAATTAATCAACCTATTTAACTGATAACTTAATTGATTATGTACACTAATTTCATTTATACTTGCTAGTTTTAAAAAAGAAAACTATGTAAGAGTTGTTATATCACCTAATTAAAGGACATTTTAAAACTAAACAGGACAATATAAGCATGCTTACTGTTGGTTCAAATTTAGGCTGAAGAAAAGTGAAGAGAGAGGGAAGAAGAGAGGACTGCTTTCCTTTCTCCAGTTTGAGCAAGGGAGGACAAATGGGTTAGCAAGACTTCTCATTTCTGCCTCTTGTTAGTGCCTTTACACTGGGTTCTTATTCCAGCAGTGACTCTTGTATAAGTCAACCCAGTCTTTTGGGGATAATTTTTAGTTTAAAATTTTTTCAAGCTATGCATGAATATATACAATACTAATTTTTGGTACTGGTAATGGGTACAGCTTTTTAGCAAGGCTCAACCAAAGCATTGTAGATTTGGGTGCTGGGAAATGACAATTGCAGTGCCCCTGGTCTCAGGACACACTGGGAAAAGAAGTTGTATCAGGACTCTGAGGGCTCTCTGCATCTACCTGTTCAACCAGGACAGCAATACAGATGTGATTTCCCAGTTTACCAATCTGCAATGTCTCAGAAATCCTACAGAACTGTCTTAACTGCAAATGAAGAATATTTTAAAACTTCTCCTAAAGTTTTGTTGTTTAGATAGCATAAACATGACTTTAAAAATTGAATAAAATAAATAGAACAGGAAAATGAAACTACAAGCTCATGGCATCTAGTATTTTTAGATTTGGGACTTGTTGGATATGGGCTTTCAGTCCCAAATCTCTTATAAAAATGCTTTTCACCCTATAATTAGCTATGGCCTAATTATCCAATAATATAAAATTAAATAAAAAATAAATTCTTAACTGAAACCAATGGTTCTCAACCTGTGGGTCCCCAAGTATTTTGGCCTACAACTTCCAGAAATCCCAGCCACTTTACCACCTGATAGGATTTCTGGGAGTTGAAGGCCAAAGCATTTGGGACCCACAGGTTGAGAACCACTGACCTAAATGCAATGCTCAGTTTCACACACAAGGCCTGTGTTCTACTGATTTGGAATGCAAACATGTTTCACTTTTATGTTTCCAAGAACTGTCTCTACAATTTAAGTTTTTCCATACACAAATTACCTACTTAGAAGGAGCAGGAGTCTGTCTTTTGATTCATTCCACAAACACTAATTTCCAAAAATAGGTGCATAAAAATCTGAAATGAACATCTTTTATCCCACCTCAAGGCTGAAGAGGAGGGGGGACTTTCAAGAGAAGCTTGAAATTGAAACCTGTATGTATTTCTATTAGAAAATTGTCCTCCTCCTCCTCCTTCCCTCTACTCAGAGTTAGAGTTTACCACAAAGTTTGCTTTGTGATAAACACTTTTCTCATGCCCCTTCCCTATAAAAATGTTTTTTTAAAAATCCTGATAAGCTCTTAATCTATGAGAAGACATCAATCCATTAAGGATAAGACAGTGTTCCTAATACTCTCTTCTAAACTGCCATAAAGCTACAAAATAAAGCCATGCGCCTGGATGGAATGTAATTAATGATCAGGATCTGAGAAATGAAATGTGTAAATTGAAGGCAAGTTTTAGGCTAAAAATTATAGATTTTTCTATGAACCCTAAATAGGTGCAAAAATAATACACAAATCTTGAAACTTAAAAAAAAAATCCAAATTCTGTGTGTATATATGGCACCCAATATTATCATTTAAAGCAAAGTATCATTTTTGGCTTTGAACAACCTCAAACTAATAAGCTAGGTGCGACCCCATCTGGGCAGAAAATGTTTCGCTAGAGCTATCCACATTCTGGGATCCTCCTCTTTAGATTACTACAATATGCTTATGCATACTTTTGAAAATGGCCATGAAACTTCAGTTAGTCGAAAATAAGGCAACAAGCTTTTAAAACTGAAATGACCAATATTGCAATCTTTCAAGAAACACATTGCCACCTGCATTGTCTTCCGGCATATTTTTGCACCCACATTTTTAAATAATCTACACTAATTTCTAAACATCTCTGTGAAATCTATCTCTTTCCTGCTTTGAAAGGCTTGCCTTGCATCTTAAATTTTGTCCTTTTGGGACCAGATCTTCTCGGGTTTTTTAGTTGTAAAATACTTCAGTGTTTTGTCTTGAAATTTTCACACAAGTCTTATTTCCTGTCATAGGGGGATACACTGCTTTGAGGCTTCTATTTTATTTCTACTTTGCAATGTTAATAGCCTTAGAGAACTCTGGGTGAGACACACATATTTCATTTTAAAAATTAATAAACAAACTTCAACTTACAGCTTCAGCTTCAGCTGGATCATACCAAACAGTGATATAGGGGTGACGTAACGCTTCATCTACTGAAATTCGTTTGTCTGGATCTACTACTAGCATTTTTGATAGTAAATCTCTAGCCTGACTAGCTAGAAAAGTGAAGGGAGAAAATCACTGTTAACAATTAGAGTCTTAAAACATATGGTAGAAAATATTCATCACACTTAAGGTAAATAACTCCTGAAGAAATATCTGAAATTCATTAACTGATAGATATTTCAGCAATAAGACAATGTATCAAACTATCACTTTATTGAGCAACTAAGCTGCACTTCAAAGTTCAAAGATGTGGAAGCATGATTCTGAAATCTAAAAACTTAATTTTCATATTTGTCTACTAGCACAAAGGATTTACCCATATATACCATGTATAAGTCAACCTCATGTATATGTTGAGGACAAGTTTTAGGCACCCTGGAAAAGTTGAGTCATTCCTCCACCACTGCCACCACCATTTTCCTTCCAAGGGATCCCAAAATGACTTTTGCCACTCAGAGGGGGAAATTGTTCCCTTTATGATAAAAGTCAATGTAAGTATTAACTCTTATCAAAAAAAGGAACCATCCCCTTCTCCAAGTAGAACGGTGAAAGGTGAAAACTGAAGTCTGTCTTGGAAGAATCTAAAAGATGCACCACTCCCTCAGACCCTCTCAGCACTCCTTTGAGGGCACATGACAAAGAGCTGATGTTCATGCCATTGTCTTCCCACCCAGGCATTCAAAAGGGGCAGAAAAAAGAAAGCAGCAAGGGATTGATGCTTCTCTTAGGTTCTCCTGGGATAGATTATGCTCTTTTCTTTTCTTTTCTTTTCTTTTTTTTTTTTGGGGGGGGGGGTTAATTTGTAGATTAAAGTTCTTAGACTTATACACAAGTATGTACTGTACAGTATTTCACTTAGCTTCAAATGTAGCTTGATTCAGGCAAAAAATGCAAAGTAAACCAACAAAAGCAATGAGACCCATTAACTGAGAGTTGATTGCATATTGTTCGAAGGCAAAATGTCCATAGGCATACAGTGAAAATATACATGTCCCAAAAGTAAGAAACAAATCAATTCATGTTTTATGGAGTAGCAAAAAATTCTCCAATCTACTTTAGAAAATTAGGAAAGAGTGTATTACAAAAATGTTTACAAATTCTTGACGAGATTATTTTTAATACATACACACTCAAAAGAAAAATGAAATCTTACTTTTTAATTTGTCACGATCAGAGTCTGATGGAAATATCCAGTCTGGAAAGAGCTCTTCAAATTTAATACCTGGATATTTTGGTCTGTTTTCTACGTAGTTCCTCACAGTAGGCTGTAGTTTCTTCATAAATTCTGTTGATGGTGTACCTAACTGTTCAATAACTTTATTCCACTGGTCAATATCTGCAAATGTGTTTAGGAAAATAAAGTATCCCTCCCCCATCTGCATAGTATAAAGTCATTTAGGATCTTGATTTTATAAAGCATGTGCAAAACCACAGACGTTCCTTCTATAGTTTTAGAGCCAACACCATTAATTTGTGTAAGCAAATTTCACAAAATAATTGTTGGCTATTTTGCCAAAATACACTGGTTAGATCTGGATAAAGAAATGTATCACAAATGAGCAGGGAGTGGTGTGGGGGTGAGTTACCCTCTCTGAGAGCACAGTCTTATGTATTTTAACTGAGTTAATCTTTGGTAACTGTATTTAGGATTGTGCTCCAAATTCAACTGACAACTAAAGCCTTTCTAAAGAAGGAAAACTATAATTACAACTAGCATATGGTACATTGAGACATTTTAAAACAACGAGAGTAAAATATTTAACTATTCAGTATAATAAACTCTGAAAATTCAAAATGAATTTATTTGCAACCCACTTTCCTTTTTATACATGGAATTCAGCATAATATTATGAATGAATAAATAGGAAGGTTTGGTCACAGCTGCTGTCTGTCAATTGGTGCTCTGTGCAGCCCTTTAAACAGGAAATTGCCTTTGCAATCCATATTAAAAGAATCCTTTAGACATGAGATGAAGAGATTAGAATTTGATCTTCTCAGTTAAGTAGCACAAACTCCTATATAATTGTATACAAACAAGACCAAATGTTCTTGAACATTACTTCCCTCTTACTGGTGTGGTATTTAACAGAATTTTTGTTAGGAAGGAAAAAGGCAGTATGAGAAACTACATGGATATTAGAAAAGCTAGTGTTGTACACGAGATAAGTTTTTATTCTAGATCTCTGAACAATTCTATCTCATTGTTTGGAAAGTAACAAAACTGTAACTAATAGGAGATACCAGGGCCATTCAATAAGGGAAGCTGAAGAACTAACCTCACCAAATTTGTTAATTATTCTGAATATGAAAATCTGGATTGGTGTGACTGTGTAATCTATATTATCAATTTCTATACAAATATGTGTGTGCAAATGCATAGAAAAAGGCCACCATCTGTGCATTATATACATTTACTCTGACCTTAGTGGTTCTATTCATATATATATATAAGCTGAAGGAAGCAATGCACTCCTATTTAACTCAACTCCTATTTACCTCAACAAATATCACACCTAGGAACCTCTTTTGATACACATAGCAAGGAGAAAGAAAGATGATGTAGGTGATGTAAACATAGACATCAAATGAAATTTGAAAAAAGTTACTAATGATAGTTTAATATTATAGGCAGTCTCCAATTTACAAACATCCGACTTCCTAATGACTCATAGTTAAGAATGGGACTGAGACAACAGGAAGTAAGAGAATCTATCCCTAGGAAGGGAAATTTACTCCTCAAACAGTTATCATGGGGAATAATAATAATAATAAAACTTTATTTATACCCCGCCACCATCTCCCCAAGGGACTCGGAGCGGCTTACATGAGGCCAAGCCCAACAACACATCAAAAACAACAAGCAATAATAAAACAACAAGCAATAAACAAGATAAACAATACAATTAATGTAACTCACAAGTAGACAATAACACACAAGAATTTAAAAACCTATGGCTGGGCCAGATGTAATAGTTAAAACTTTAAAAATCAATGCTGGACATGAACAGAGGATGTATCTATTAGGAGGGTTTTAAATCAAAAGTAAAGAGCAACCCAACGTGTAATTAAAGTGCTTCTCAGAATATTTGCGGGGAAAGGGTGGCTCACTTTAAGTTTTATCACCAATCTTTGTTTCCACAACAAGCCAATTTTTTCTAAATTCCAATTATTACAAGAACAGATAATGAGATAATAATAAATCTTCTGAACAGGGGCAAAGACTGCAAAACAAACACCACCGGGGTGTTTACCCTTACCTATCTATCCAAAACTTACACACACACAGCTGGAATTACACTTTAAAAATGTACCTTTTCTGACTTATGTGCAAATTAAATAAACCTACAGAACCTATCTTGTTCATAACTTGGGGACTGCCTGTATTTCAGAAAAGACCTGAAATGTTTGCAAATCATACATTGAACCTTTGCTTCTCCTCAAACCTTTCTGATTTCTATAAAGCCTGTTGGAAACGACTGGAGGGAAAATGAATGGAGGGGAAAATCTAAGCTTTCTTGTTAGTATGTTCTTATTGGGATGTAATGCAAACCTAGAGCTGAGAATCATCACCATACTCAGATAGGGTGGGCTATAAATAAAATTTCATTACATTTATTTCATCATATTTATGGATTGCACAGTGCAATTCGTTTCAATTCACTTCTGACACAATAAATAAATATCATACTGATGTAGTGGGAAGCCTCCAGTATGTGGATGCCAGGATCCTCTGCCTTGGAACTCCCATAAATTATAAGTATGTTACTTGTGATTGCTATAAACTCTGAAAATGTTATATGGGATTTAGAGTATATAATAGTTAGTGGGAACCAGCACCAAACACCTGGAAGATAATGGACAGGAGTCTGGGAGAATGTAGAACTGAGACCTGATGTTGTTCCCATGTGAATTAGTGTCCAGGTAAGTGATATAATGTTAAGATTTATTAGCCAATTACAGAAAGGCCACAAAAAGTGTAAAGGCTAATGACTCTTGGATGGAATATCATATAGCATTGGCTGCCAGTATTTTTCTCTCTGTATTCAGGATATTTCTGGATGGCATTTAAAATCCTAAATGCTTGAACCTTGACACTTGAGGGAATGCCACTTCCCATATGAGCCTGCCAAAAGATTAAGGTCTGCTTGGGGGAGGGGTCTCTTTCATGTCCTACCAGGGAGGACAATACATTGTGTTAGGACATGGGAGAGGGCTTTTGTTACTAAGGTTGCAAGTTAAAAAGTTGCTATTTACCAAAGCCTTGAGACCTTATTAATTATTAATTAAACTGAAGACTGTTATAATTTTTAAAACTTTGAACAATAAAGTCTACGTTTTTGTATTATTTAACCTGTTTTTTTAGTTTTATAGTCTACTGCTGTTTTTAACATGCTTAACCTGTTCTAATGCTATCTGTAAGCCTCCTTTGATATTTCTTGATCTAGTTAGAAATACAAATACATTTTCTTTTGAAAATATTTTTAAATGGCTGACACTTTAGTGCTTAAATAAAAGCTTACTCCAGTTAAGTATTCAATAGAATTGATCATTTCTTTCACACTGGATCTCTTACAGAGCTGTTCCACATAGGCAATTGGTCATGAATATTAATTTTCTTTACTTAGGCCAATATGGCAAAACACTGGCTGGGAAGTACAGATCTACATGAAAATATACATGTTTTTCCCTCATTATGGTCAGAGGTAACCACACCACCTTTTGATGGAGAAAGTGAAGCAAATACCATGATTTAGCTTCTTTGCTTCTATAGGCTTTGCAGAAACAATTCCAGATATAAAACTACACAGAGGACACAATGAAGGATATACATTTAGAATATCCTAAATAATGACTAAAATTAAACTTAACAAATATTACTTACTTTTGCCTTGGTTAATCAAATGCATTCAGACAGAATTTCAGTATTATAAGTACTATAACAAATACTTTAAAAGCCCTTCACATACTATATTATGCAAATAAAGTCAACTTTGAATCTCCATTGATAAATGTATTCAGCTGAAGAACTCCACCAATCTAGAATCATTTTTACAATATTTAAGATAAATTAACACACACACTCTCTTTTATCACCTCCCTCTTTCCAATATCTAGAGCCACCTCATGAGGTGGAACTTTGATTGGCGTGTCTCCTTTTTTGTGGAAAAAGGTAACCAACATAATGTCTCTATCTTAAAAATACTACCAATGTTGTATTCAACTGGAAAAAATGGGACATCATGCGTGAAGTAAAACAGTCTGTTTTAATTGCAAGACACAGAGGTTGAGAAGATCGGGATATAAAAGTTTTAAATAATAATGTTCTGCCCTGGTAATGAACAGCCCCTTCTGAGAAAAATCTTCTCTCGATGAAAGGCCTTCGGGCTGAGAGGGGTGGTATATAAATATGGTAAATAAATAAAAAATAAATTCTTTGTGCAAAAAAGACAATATGCCATTTGGATGTTGCAGTGATCCTTCAAAGCAAATTTCTCACACATGGAGCATTGCCTTTGGGACTTCTTATACTACAGTAACAACTGAGGGCAGGTGGCTTATTCTGCTAATGGTGCCAATTGTCAGTTCCAAACTACTGAGAAATTGCTCCTCATAGCATTTTATCAACTATGGAAATAAAATTCAACCGACATGATCACTGCATTGTAAACAAGCCGGATTTGCTGTGGTGTGTGAGGCTCATTGGACAAGTAAATGTATCCTAATACAAATATAACTCAGTGCATAGAATCAGTTTTTTAAAGGGGTATTGTAAAAAAAACACTGTTATGAATTCCATCTGCCAAGTAGAATCTATTGAGTGGAATATAGTCAATTAAAAAATGAAACGGTCCAAGCTCTGGCAAAAACATGTCAGATGACAACAGAAGTGGTTCTATAATATGTTAAATTGTAATTCTTTGTCCCAACTACAGTAGCTGAACTGTTATCTCAAATGATATAATCTTGAGTAATAGATGGGTAGGGCTTACTGCCTGGCAAATTCACTAATCGAAGTATCCTCTGATATAAGACACCTGCTAAGTAAACAGAAAATCTAAAAGCATAGGACTGCACTGGGAGAATGATGTAAAAACCTAGTAAAACAGCCTGAACACAAAGGTTCGATTCACTTTCCTCATCTGTGCCTAACGACCATAAGAACTCAGTTACCTCAATGTTAATAAACCTAAAGATTATGCAGCTACAAGTGCATCAAGTGATATTACAGAACTACATGGCATTTCACTTTCCTAGAATTACTAGATAAAAAGTTTTAAACTTTGCTTTCTACAGGCCACAATCATTTCCAGGTTCCACAAGGCCACTCTCATGCATGGTACACAGTCTATTACTTAGAAAAGATATTGTACAAATGCACCTGTAGAGCCCTAAGCTACAGAGGAAGAATAAAGAAATTCATTAGGACTACAAAGAAAGCATGGAGGTTTCTTCAGTGATCTCAAAATAACTTCTTGCACTGCATTTGGCAAGCATCTCCATGGAAAAACAGAGGGGAAGGAATTCTAAGACACAACATTCTGTATCCTGCCACAAAGATTTTCTCACGTCAAGAGCAAAAATGTACTTATTTTAATGGTTATTAATCTTTCACAAATATATTTAACTCTTGATGTCATGGCCTGTGAAATATGCTTCTTCTTATCTCTGGAAATATGTAGTTATTTCTCTTTAAGATGTAATATCCCATATAATATCAGAATGGTTCTTGCATCCAACATATTATATGACCCATATTGTCTTTCTCCTTAGGCCATTAGTTTAAAAGTAATCATTAAAAATTAATAAACAGATTCTTAATTAGGTAAGGGAAAAATTGGGGTTCTGTAAATCAGAGCTGGAAAAGCATAAAAGAGAAAAATACAGCATTAGGACAAGACTTATATCTTCAGTTCAAAAATATCAAAGTACTAAATACTTTGAAAAAGAGTGTTTGTTTCTGTAAATCAATTCGAAATCAAGAAATCAATCAGCATAAAAATGGCCAATGAAAGAGGCACTGGATTGGTGGAATTCTACCAAGTACAATACATTTACTGCATACAGATTCGTTAAGCATGAAAGACACGTAACATGAAGGCAGCAAACATGAAAGCTGATGATAACATGCAACCAACAGGAGAGATAGCATACATGAAGAATTGTGTTAGGTTGGTCATAAGGCTTTGGAGAATAAAATAATATATATGGGAGAAAATTGAAAAAATGAAAATCAAGCTTCTATTTAGGTGTGTTACTGGGTTAACATGATCAACCATTAAGATTTCATGAAATCAAGCATTCAGAATTATATTTTTCTAACCTGTGTGCCTTTACTATCCAGTTGAAGATAACAGGAAAAGAACTGACAAGACAAAACCATTGTTGTAAGCCTATTGCCTTTATGCAGAAAAATACAAAAAAGCAGTTAGTTTTTAAAATGTAACAATAATTTTATGGAGTTTTCATGTTAAACAGTGGCAATAATGACAAGGAAATTTGCAGCATCATTAAGACCACAAAAAGGTCAAGTTCTTAAACCAAGATGAATTGTTCAAACAGTGAAGTTAAATGTAACCAAGAAGAGAGCAAAAGTTTATTGGTGGTTCATATCAGAGGTTTTGAATGTGTGTGGCAGATTTTACTTAAGAAAGATAAGTATGCTGAAGGCAGGGATAGCATCTTTTACATCTATCAAAGGAATAAAAATAGTTCTTTGGTAAATGTGGATTAGGATTCAAAGATTACAAGGGAAGGATACGATCAGTGCCTTGGAATATCACACAACCTTTCACCAATTCTCCCATGATGCAACCAACTGACCAGATATCAACTGAAAGTAAAAATGAAATGATAAAATTATGAAGTGTTATGAAATAAAGTGGAAAACAAAAAAAACATTATACATTAAAAACACAACAATGCAGAAAATGAAACTGCTAACATGTTTTTGAACAATAATAACAGAAACACTTACCATATATACTCATGTAAATAAGATGACCTATATAACTTGAGGTCAGATGTCAGGGTCAAAATTGTGGATTTTATATGACCTGCAGATAAGTCGTGGGTCATACTGCGAAGAAGGGAAAGCATCAATACTGTCCTTGGCAGTTACTGACAATTCCTCACTCAGGTATTAAAGGCGGCCAGAAGTGGCATTGTGGCAGTGAGAATTGTGCAGGTTTCTGCTTCTTTTAGGTTCTTTTGTGGCAGATCAAGCTTCTTACTTTTGCCATTCTACTCAGAGAAGTGGTGGTTCTTTTTTATATATAAGAGTTAAAAGAGTGCTTTGATAAAAGTGCAAGTAAATCAAACCAGGTTATTTGCGTTGATTTTTTTGAATAAAATGTCTGGAATTAAACATGAGTATATAGAGTATTCTCATTGCAAATTTTAGATTTTAGACAAAAAGAATTTTGTATTAAAAACAACATATTTTAATGGAAAGTCTATTAATTTGTCAATATATACTGTACTCTTATTTTTCATCTATAGGGTTCTATTGAAGCGCTTTGAAGGATACAATCTCTTCCTGGAAACAGGACCTTATGGAGGACCATTTCTGCCATTATGCACCCAACAGACCAGAGATCCACTATCAAACGTTAGGTGTAATGGGGACAAAAATTAAACATTTTTCAAAAATTCTATAAATAGATTTTCAAATGCTGAATATTTATAATCACACAGGAAAAAGAAAGGTTATTAGAAATCATGCATTTTTTAAAAAAACCACAGGCTGCTTTATACAATCTTTCATAAACCATAATCTACCATGGGCTCTCCAGATCCATAATTTTCATCAACTGATAATTGCGTCCTATATATAAAATGTCAGTGACATGAATGTGGAAGCCCTGAAGTATCTGCATGCATAACACCGCAGTTTAATAATATGGGAGGCAATAATCCACTTTATTGGCATCTACAGATCCAGAGTCCCACAGATCTAGGAGGCTCACTGTATACTCCAATCAAAAGAAAAAGTGTTGTATTACTGGGTTAGCAAAATGATTTGCAAATTATACATGAATGTTAATTATATACTACTGAAATTAATCAAACTCAGTTATCCATTACTAACACATTTAATTGCTACCAATAAATTAAATAAAGTTAATTTTTCTACACTATAAACCCATTATTAATATAAATTAATGTAACTCTATCACAACTGAACATTTTTGAGAAAAGCATGTCATAAACCTTCAGATTTGATGTTCTAGCAAAAACTGCCTTGGACTGAGATTAGTTTTTGAACATTACTGGCTTGACATGAGATAAATAAGTCATCATTCTGTCTTATCACTACAGATTCAGCCCGCCAGATGGGAAGTCAGGAGAAACTGTTCTTCTGTAGCGATCGAAATAAAGCATGACATTATTTTAAACATGTAGTCCCAGATAGGGCATAAAGTAGTGAAAATATTAGCCCTCGCCCATCACGACTAAGAGGTAATCATGGGCAGTATGTGTTGAGCAAAAATTCAGGGCTTTCTGATAAATGAGAACAGTAGCTAGGTTCATATGCAGATGTCCTCAAACTAGAGTGTAACCTGCCTCTCAGGAGTCATATGCTTTTGGATAACATTTTCTCACAAATGGGCTGCTTTTAAAAGTAGGCTGTGTGCTTTCTGCTTTTTCTGCTTCACCTGCTGCATCTCTCAATGGAAGAATGTTGTAAAAACCGCTTATTCAGATTTCCCAGCCATGCTGTCACTTACCCAAATACCCATAAAACTACATGGTAATAAGCTTACCAAAATCCCTCTCAAACTTCAACAAGACAGCAATAAATAGGATAGGCTAATAATTGATCAAATACCCTAGTCAAACAAATATGGTACTTCTATCCTGCAACTTACCATTCTCTTTGTATCCCATGCCAAGAATAACTTCCGGTGCTCTGTAATATCGTGTAACCACATATGGAGTCATCATGAAATTAGTACAAGCTGTCCTTGCCAGTCCAAAGTCAAGGATTTTAAGAGTACAATCTGACTTTACTACTATATTGCTGGGTTTTAAATCCTAAAGAGAAATGCATTCATTTAAAAGCTCAACAAGTGGTATAATTAGCTCAGCAAACACAATACAGTCTGAAAAATTATTATTCTAAGATAACAGTTTGACATAGATGTGTCACCCCATGCAAAACGTGGAATACCAGCTGTTATTTGACTCTATTGTTTAGAGGGGGAAATCTCAGGAGAAAACAAGACCTTCACCCTGACTCTTCCAGGGGTCATGCAGGACTTTGCTGAGCCAAGACAAAAATTCCCCAGAGTCTAGACTCATCGGTCACCTATGGCAGACCATCTTAAATCACTTTCCCACCCTGCATAAATTCTGAACCCACACTTGGCAGTGATCTCTCAATGGTAATATAATTACCATTCTTCTATTCCAGGATTACATTGCAGTCAGCTCCCTTTAAAGCCAAAGGGATGGTTTGGCTCAGAACTGAAAACAAGGTCCAGTGAGGCCAAATACCATCAGGAAGACTCATGGTTATCTGACAGACACTACATTCTCCACCACTCTTGACAGGGCAGATTAGAACAGCGACTTCCCTTTTGGCGTTCAGAAAAAATTGAAGTCCTGGATATGGGACCAAGCTTTTGGATATTCTGGCAGCTAAGGAAAGATCTGACGATAAACAAGGGCGAACGGAATGGAATGGATAAACGGACTCTGAACACTGAGCATGAGATTGTTTTGCTATTTTACTATGTATTAATGTTTTTAACTTGTTAATCGTTTAAATTGCTTTTATGTATTGTTTGTTTATTGATTTAGGCATCGACTTGTGCCTTCGTTTGTAAGCCGCCCTGAGTCCCCCCTCGGGGGTGAGAAGGGCGGGGTAGAAGTAATTGAAATAAATAAATAAATTGAAATAAATAAATAATAAATCATGGACACTGAAGCCCTTTGGCACAACATGCCAATGGAACTCTAACAACCATCCTGAGACTACCCCAGCTTGCTAAAGAAGGGAAGCTATTGAGCAATGGGATGGGCATTACAACAAAAGAATATTTATTTTGTTCCAGCCTTCTACTTCAGATACATTCATACACTTGAACCTAGCTGACAGTGGAACAGGGCACCACATTTGTTGAGGGTGGAGTGGAATCATTTTAGACCACTGTGACTCTACATTCCTATCTCTTCAGAGAACCCTGGCAAGCAAAGTTGAGAGAAACTAACTCGCCACCATCACCTTACTCGCTTCCATTTATTTTGCCTTGTTTGGACAACAGTTACAATTTCTGAAAGGAGCCTTTTCCACCTCCTCAAAGCTTTCTTCACATTGTTTGTTAGCTATGATGGTGATTTCTTGGAGCCCGTATTACTTTTTCCTCTTGTATACATTCTACCTGTGAATCTGAACCTTTTTTCCAATGTCAATATGAATGAGGGCAAGTAATAAAAGACAGGTATTAATATGTTTGTAATAGCACTACCTACTCTGTGGATGATACCAGCTGAATGAAGATGTTTGATACCACATAACATCTGATATAGAAGGTAGGACATTCTTTCATGATCCAGTTCCATATGAATAACTTGGCACAAATTAGCATCCATCAGTTCCATAACCAAATACCTTAAGTATTAAAAAAGTATTATTTGTTTTTATTCACACATAGATATATAAACATCACCTGTGCAAAACCCACTGCCTTGCATAAATTCTTAACTTACTTATACAAAAGACAGTTCCATTGAGAAAAGCCCATAGTATTTAATATATTTACATATTTATCTGGATATTCAGTCTGTCTTTCCATAATAAAAATTCTAGGTATTAAATTATAAATATGTAAAGCATGAGAAAATTAACCTAACAAACCTAACAGTGCAACACTGTCATAAATAGCAGACTAACAACGTAACAGAAGAACAATGTATTAAAAGCTTTATTAATATGTCAACAGCAGAAACATAATAGATACCATAAATTATAAATAATATTTATTTAAATCCAACTAGTAGTTCCAAGCCAAGCGAATCTATTGAATCTATTTCAGAAACTAACACTTATGTGAATTATGCTGTTTTAACAGATAAAAATGAGAAACGGGTAATAAAGCACCATCTTTAAGACTAACCGATCCATTGTAGCATACATTTTCATGGATATCAAATGCCTCAATAGATATCAAGGTCACAATTTTTTAAGCACTGCTACACAGTTGTGCAAGTGAGATTGAAAATAATAGGAGATAGGATGATGATGTATATTGTGACCTTGGCCATACTCTTTCAAGAGCTGTGTGAGATTATACAGGAATTTTGATCAGTTAAGAGTAGTCTTCAAATCAGCTTGTTAAGAATGACATGTCAAAATCTGCATCCAAACTCTAAAAGGTTGCAAGATATTCTATGTTTAGTTTCTGGTTGGAATGCTTTTTTGACAAAGAGGGCAAGCAACAAATAATTGAAGACATATAGTCAATGAAAACAGAGGCTGGGGGGGAGGGGGGGGGACAAAAAAAACAAAACAATGTTTTTTGTTTTTCTCCTTGTATAATCTCGATAATTCCCCGAACAATAAAGCATCACAGCCTACATCCAACTAGTACTCACATGAATCAATGGGAAATGCACTGAATCAATGGGAACCTATACTGAAACATTTTTTTAAGTTCCACTGATGCAATGAGTCTACTTTAGTAGTGACTAACAATTGGATTTAGGCCTTTACATATAAAATTAACTGTGAATAAAATTCTGCTACATAGAGCACATGGAAAAATTGGTATTTTTTTCTAATAACATATATTCATCAAAAATGGGAAACTTACACATCTTGAAATTCTTCTAGTGACTTCTGTGGTGTGAATACATTTAATAGACTAATAATCTGTAAAAGAAGAAGTAAATAATGATCACTAGTGCAATAGAACAGTGTAATATGACCATGGTAGCATGCAGATCTCTTGCCTGCTTAAAGGACAAAAGCCCATTTAAAGGCCAACAGCAAATAGAAGGTTAATGCAGTAGTTCTAGAATGTGTAAAAGTATACTATCCCCAACTTATTAAGGCATAGCTGTATTGCCATCAGCAAAACCCAAAATCCACAAAACAGTGATACACAGAAGTTACTCTGCTGCTGTTAATTGATATGAAATTTATTTCTTTGTTTGTTTGTTTATTTACAGTATTTATACCTCACCCTTCTCACCCCGAAGGAGACTAGAGCAGCCTTACAAAAAGCAACAATTCAATGTCATGTCAACAACAAATATAAAACAAACATATACATTAAACATGAATATAAAAGCCATATAAAGATTAAAAGACATTATTAAAATCATGCAATCCAAGAACATAGTTAAAAAAGCCATGTTATTGCCTGTGTTATACCACCCCTTTGCCCCTGCTCCCCACATGGCCAAGAAGGAGACTAGCCTTTGCTTGCACCGATATTGCTCTAGACCAGGGATTCTCAAACTTTTTCAGCCACAGAGCCTATTTTTAAGCAAACGTTTCTCATAAAGCCTCAAGACGTGGTGTGTGTGTATGTGTGTGTGTATATATAAATCAGACATGGGCAAACCTTTGGACACAGAGCCCGCATTGTGTTTTAAAATTTGACAGACAGGCTGGGCCAGTGGCAGATAGATGGAGAGTTTGTGTGAATGAATTGGGGGAAAAACATGAACAAATTCCTATGCACACTGTATCTATCTCATTTGTAGTGCAAATAAAGAATAAACAATACAATATAGGAGGAGGGGGGGGAGGGGGAGAGAAAGAGGCAGGAAGCAGCATGGTGCTACAGAGCCCATCACTATCACTCATAGAACCCCAAGGGCTCCACAGAGCAAAGCTGATAACCCCTGCTCTAGACCATCTTAATGGACAACAGAAGTATCATCTGAGACAAACTGTAGGATTTATGACATTTATTCTTTTGCATGATATCTAGCATGTGTGTGTAATGAATGAACAATGTATTTAGTGTATTTTAATTGGTCTAATAAAAGTATAATTATTTTGTAGAGTTTGCAGTGGTTTGTCACATACGTCTAAAGAAGAATCTCAATTTCCTTATAAATGCAGTGCACTAAGCACGTCAGTTTATTGATGGACTATAACATTTGAGATATATTAAAAAGAGAATGAAACAGTTATTATATATAATGCTTACGTTATGTTAGTAGCATGGTTTCATCTAACAGGACTATAGGAAACTTTCCTATCTATATAAATAAAATGTAATGTTCGTTTGTGGTATTCACAGAACTCAAAAACCCCTGGGTGAATTGGCACCAAATTTGGACACGATACACCTAACAACCCAATGTATGTCCTTCACTCAAAAAAATTTGATTTTGTCATTTGGGAGTTGTAGTTTCTGGGATTTATAGTTCACCTGCAATCAAAGAGCATTCTGAACCCCACCAATGATGGAATTGAACCAAACTTGGCACACAGTTCTCCCATGACCAACAGAAAATAGTGGAAGGGTTTGGTGGGCAGTGTCTTTTGGTTTTGGAGTTGTAGTTCACCTACATCCAGAGAGCACTGTGGACTCAAACAATGATGGATCTGGACCAAACTCTACACGAATACTCAATATGCCCAAATGTGAACACTGGTGGAGTTTGGGGAAAATAGAATCTTGACATTTGGGAGTTGTAGTTGCTGGGATTTGTAGTTCACCTACAATCACAGAGCATTCTGAACCCCACCAACGATAGAATTGAGCCAAACCTCCTACACAGAACCCCCATGACCAACAGAGTGGGCCACAGCAACGCTTGGAAGGGAACAGCTAGTATTAAGTAAAAAAATGGAAGGAGAAAAACTGATGGGCACAAGTGGAAGGTAAGTGTGGAATTGGTATGGTTAAAAAAAATGGACATACTAAATCGAGAGAAAATTTAAGTGGAATACCATTATGTCTGAGGATAACACTTTTAATAAAAGAACTACACATAGGTTTGTTTGTTTTTTACTTAGATTAAACTGAGGAAAGAATTCAGAAGAAACCACTATGTTTTGGTTACTGTTAACAGGCACATACACACGATTGTACATACACTATTACTTACTTTTACAAATACTCAGTTGATATGCTACCAATGAAACATGAAAAATACTCATAAATTACTCACATTTTTATGATTGACACACTTTAAGAGTACAAGTTCCCTGTAGGCTCGTTTTGCATGTGTTTGGTTTTGAAAAGGGCGACTCAGTTTCTTTACAGCAACATTTAGTCCAAGGACTGTATCAAATGCAGCACTGAAAGGTTAAAATAGAAACATCCTAACAGAAGTTCTTTGGGATCAGGAGCACACACTGAAAAAGCTACATGCTCACATCAAGCTGGCTCTGTCTTTTCCAGTTTAAACAGAAGGCTATAAAATACCTCAATTAATTGTTTTTTTAGGGTGAACTCTACTCCACTCCTCCCTGCTCACAGTTTGTTTATGTAGATCTCTCCTGTGCTGCTTTCTACCAGCTCTCTAACACAAACAAGTACTAATAGCAAAGAGCCTTGCCACCATGAACTGAGGAAATGCAGTGCAGGATCATGGTGAGCCTGCAAACATCAGTGTATTCTTCTGACTTTAAAAGAGAGCACATATATTTGGGATGCAGAAAAAGATCCTGTGATAACAATGCTATGAGTTGTAGTGAACTCATGTGAGATGGAAGGCAGGCAGAAACAATTGCTTCTTCCTCAAAGTAAATGGCAAATTATACTACCAAATTAATCAACATATGTATGATTAGAAAAGGTTTCTCAGAGAAGCCTAAAATTATGTCAACAATTCTATTTAGGTGACAAAAAAATCATATCTTATTATGAACACTTTTGTATACAGGTTAAATTGTTAGCATAGACAGTATATTTTAAGGCATTGTCAGAACTATAAAAAGCAACTACTGTATTTCATAGAATCATAGAATCAAAGAGTTGGAAGAGACCTCGTGGGCCATCCAGTCCAACCCCCTGCCAAGAAGCAGGAATATTGCATCCAAATCACCCCTGACAGATGGCCATCCAGCCTCTGTTTAAAAGCTCCAAAGAAGGAGCCTCCACCACACTCCGGGGCAGAGAGTTCCATTGCTGCAGCTCTCACTTCAGGAAGTTCTTCCCAATGTTCAGATGGAATCTCCTTTATTGTATTTTGAAGCCATTGTTCTGCGTCCTAGTCTCCAAGGAAGCAGAAAACAAGCTTGCTCCCTCCTCCCTGTGGCTTCCTTCTCACATATTTATACATGGCTATCATATCTCCTCTCAGCCTTCTCTTCTTTAGGCTAAACATGCCCAGCTCCTTAAGCCGCTCCTCATAGGGCTTGTTCTCCAGACCCTTGTCGCCCTCCTCTGGACACATTCCAGCTTGTCAATATCTCTCTTGAATTGTGGTGCCCAGAATTGGACACAATATTCCAGGTGTGGTCTAACCAAAGCGGAATAGAGGGGTAGCATGACTTCCCTAGATCTAGACACTATGCTCCTATAGATGCAGGCCAAAATCCCATTGGCTTTTTTTGCCGCCATCACATTGTTGGCTCATGTTTAACTTGTTGTCTATGAGGACTCCAAGATCTTTTTCACAGATACTGCTCTCGAGCCACGGCGTCTCCCATTCTGTATTTTTTGCATTTCATTTTTTCTGCCTAAGTGGAGTATCTTGCATTTGTCACTGTTGAACTTCATTTTGTTAGTTTTGGCCCATCTCTCTAATCTGTCAAGATCATTTTGAATTCTTCTCCTGTCCTCTGGAGTATTGGCTATCCCTCCCAATTTGGTGTCATCTGCAAACTTGATGATCCTGCCTTCTAGCCCTTCATCTAAGTCATGAATAAAGATGTTGAACAGGACTGGGCCAAGGATGGAACCCTGCGGCACTCCGCTCGGCACTTCTTTCCAAGATGAAGAGGAAGCATTGGTGAGCACCCTCTGGGTTCGTCCATTTAACCGTCCATTTCTTTGATTCTAAGACACACTCCCTCCATATAAACATCTCCAAAAACAGAATGTATCTTAGAAAGGCAAGTGCTTGTGCTTGTGTGTGTGTATAACTCTTTTCTGTTGGTGATACTGAAATTAGCGTGGACTGAGCATTTTATATTTGATGGCTTCTTAGAAGTGAAGAAATACGACATTAAGAAAAAATTATATTCTTTGATAAAAACGAAACTAATAATTCCAGTGAATATTTTATATTTGGAAAACACTCCATTTACTTTTTATTTTTTTCACAACACATTTCATATTTTGATACCTACTGCCACTTACCAAACAATGCCTTGCGCCCCAGACCCAATAGGTTTCAATTGCTGGTATCGTTTTAGTACAGTGAACGTTGAATCTGCAACTTGTACACTGTAAAACTGACTATCACATTTACTCTCACTCATGATGTAGTGTCATGTGGTTTATGTCCCAGGATCTAACACAGTTTCCAAGATCTGTATAAAAAGAACCAAATAAACATGTTTTAGCAAACTTGTTATTATATCATCCTGTTTCTTTTGCAGCTCACAGAATTGGCCTATGACCTTACACTTAATTAGATAAAAAGAGAAGGAACAAAACCCAATTACAATCAGATAAGTTTCAGAAGAATATTTTCAATACATTTTAGCATAATGCCTTGTTATTGAGCGTCACGCTCTTGTTACATCCAGGATAGACTACTGCAACATGCTCTACGTGGGGTTGCCTTTGAAGACTGTTCGGAAGCTTCAACTAGTACAACAAGAGGAAGCCAGGTTAATAATTGAGGCGGCATACAGGGAGCACACAACTGGCTGCCTGTTTGCTACCGGACTCAATTCAAAGTTTCACCAGTTTTCCAAAATATCATAAATTGCCAATTGTACAGTATATAACATGTCTCTCAACATAATTATTCAGATCAGCTATTATCATATGAAATGCTATAGTAGCACTGTTACAATCACAGTTATTTGATAATGTAATCTGAAGGAAGGTCTTAAGTGATAAATTAGTATATTAACAACTAATGAGAATTCTGTACACAGAGCTGAACTCTTAAGAGTGATAGCAACTGCCTTCTGGCTATTCCTACTCTAGGAATTAAGGGAAGTGGTTATGTCCTATCTCACCCCAGAAATATAGAACATGTTCTTAAGTCTAGGATGGGATCAATCATACAAAATTATTTACCTATATTATCTTTGAAACACAAAAGTTCCAAATATTATAAAAACCTAGAAATTAGTACTAAGTTAAAGACTATCATTAATCTCCAGTTTTTCAGAGTAGCAGCTATTTCCACATCCTCAGACAGGCCTTATCATAGGCACACTATTTCACAACTAGATCTATATCTTAATAGGCAAGCATTTACATAATCAGAATGACTGTGGAACAAGGCTAGGTATATAATTTGACCATAAAACCGTTTAGAGTCCAAAGCTTCGGAGTAAAAGGCACGTTACATGTAAAAGATACTATACTCCATTTATATTATCATATACTGATGTATATGGCCCATGGGTAACTCATTCCACAAAGAGGATAACGCGCCATCACAACCTGAGGAGTCAAGCTGCAATGGCCACCACTACTGCAATTTTTTGCAGGCTCCTAAAAGGCAGTTCGCCATTTTACCAAGGATCCATCTGTACTGTAGAATAAAACATTTGGATACAACATTAATTGCCATGTCTCAATGCTATGGAATCACGGCGGTTGTAGTTTTACAAGGCATTAAATTTCTGTCAAAGAGTGCTGATACCTCACCGAACTACAACTTCCAGGATTCCATAATACAGGCATGGTAGTTAAAGTGGTGTCAAACGGCATTAATTCTACAGTGTAGATGCATCCTCAGAAAAAGAGATGGTACTTCATCCACAGGACAATGTAAATATTGTGCCTTATTAAAAAAAAGAAACCATCTCCTTCTCTGAGTACAGATCAGATAACTTTCATAGGGTTATCTAAGGCAAGTTCCTACTTCTAAAATACAGCCTACAGCACTTTATATTGGTTGGTGGTTTCCTATCCAAGTACTAATTTGGCTGTTGTAATTATGTAATTATCTCCAGCAAAGGATCACCGCCTTGCTGTGGCGCTGGAGCTTGAGCACCTCAATGATGTCATGAGCGAAACCGTGAAGGGCCACCCAAGACGGGACGGTCGTGGCAGAGAGGTCAGACGAAGCGTGATCCCTGGGGAAGGCAATGGCAAACCACCCCAGTATCCTTGCCAAGAAAACTAAATGGACCAGTACAACCAGAGATATGTCTGAAGTGACTGGACTGACCTTGAAGGAGCTGGGGGTGGTGACGGCCGACAGGGAGCTCTGGAGTGGGCTGGTCCATGAGGTCACGAAGAGTCGGAGACGACTGAACGAATGAACAACAACAATTATCTAAAACATGTCCACTTCTTTGACACCACAAAAGTATGCCTGAATTTCTAATATAATTTAAAGATGCATTCAGATACTCTGGTTTAATGTTATTACAGGGCAGGCAACTCAGTCCTGTAAATGTTGGATTACAGTTCATTAGCCCCAGCCAATATACACTATAGTAGTGAAAGAGAATGAGAGCTGTAGCTGTCTGTATGCATTCCACTGTATAAGACTGTAAGTGCAAGCAAGCTAACAAAGAAAAAATTGTACAGTGCTGCTATTGTCACTTGATTCTTCAAATATAAATGTTCTTCAACCCTTCTCTTACTAAGATTTGACCTCGAGGCTATTGTATGCAATCATAATTGACAATATACTGGGGTGGATCTAACATTTGACAACCAAAGGAAGAAAGGAAGATACTTCTATATCAGTGGTTCCCAACCAGTGGTCCATGGACTATATGGTTTCTGAACTTGCTTACTATCACTTCACAATTCCCCCAAATTACTAGGTTACCGCAGGTGTCCCCTGTTTCCTCCCCCCACCCCTCCAAGTTCTACTATTTCAGAGTTTGCTGGTCTTACCCTGATGGCCTGCTTGGGAATATATCATAGGTTTAGGCAGAATTGCCTAGCCTAGGCATGGACAAACTTAGACTCTCCAGGTCTTTTGGACTTCAACTCCCAGAAATCCCAACTAGTTTATTGGCTGCTAAAAAAATTGCCCATGCCTGTCCTAGCCCATTTCCAGCTCTAAACTGAGTTGTGTCATGATCTGGTTCTGAGTGCTTTGGCAGCTCCCAAAGCAAGCACAATGCAGATGAGGAACAGTTCTTGTCTCATGAGGAATAATCTACATGAGGAATGATCTACATAATCTGAACTTCAAAAGAATATTGAATTGTGGGGACAATCTATCCCACAGTTTAAGAGGAGGGCTGGGGCTTGCCACATTGGAGAATTGGGATGTGCATCCATTCAGAACAGGAATAAATTTAAATTACTGAATGCTCTTCTTCCAGTACATAGCAAATGGAAGGCTAAAGTAGAATGCTTCTCTTGATGGCCTATATTCTAAGTTGAGCATCCAATCACATCCAATGTTCAAAGATACTACTTAGCATTGTGCTTGCACCTCCTGTTTTTGACAATCAGGCTTACATTTATAATGGTTATGACCACAACACCTTAGACCAGGTCTGCACAGCCTCTGGCTCTCCAGGTGTTTGGGACTCCAACTTCCAGAAACCCTAGCCAGCTTGTCCAATGGTCAGGAATACTGGGAGCTGAAGTCCAAAACACCTGGAAGGCCACAGGTTATGAAGGCCTACCTTAGATTAACAATTAAAGTAATTACCAAGTATCTGTTACAGAATCAAGAAATTCTTTTTAAAATCTGAAAGGGAAGTCAGCAGTATGGGTATAAATAACAAGCTGCTTTTATTTTTCACCATGATTACCCCCTCCCCCAATATATGCCATCTGTTGGATGAAGTAATAATCTTTGCTTAACATATTTCCTATGTGATGAAATATACTTTAGTTTAGAAAAGTGTATACCACAAGAATATTTTAAAAGACCCAAGACTCATATTTGCTTCCTTGTGTGCCTTCTTTTGTCCATCCTATTCTTTTTGTACATATTGCAAGATTCTTTGTCACCTAATAGCATTAGTTGAGTAACACATACAACTATCAAATCATGTACACATCAAGTACCGTATCACCTTAAAAATTCAGAATCACAAACTGGACCTAAAGTTTCCAACAGCTTTTTTGGTTTTGTTGTGTGCATTCAATTAGCTTATGGTGACCCTAAAGCAAACTTATTACAGGGTTTTCTTGGTATGTGTAACAAGGGAGTGTGCCTCTACTTTCTTAGCAGGTGAGTATGATTTATCAGAGGTCACAAAGTGGATTTCAATGGCTGAACAGGGATTTTGCAGTTCAGCATTCAAACCATTACACCACACTGGCTCCTTCCAATATGTAATGATACTGAAATACAGTATTTCATCTCATAATAGTCAGACTCCACCCCGCCCACCCCACCCCCATGGGCGATTATGCGATGGTGACTATTACGCAGTGAGAAAAAAAGCAATTTTAGGGGCTTCTTTCATTGTGTAATAATCAGTAATCACTGGCTCACACACCAAAAAAGAAAGAAGACAGGTGGAGGGGAGGCATTGTGAGTCAAGCTCCACAGTGTCAAAAGGGCAGTCTCACTCCTAGTTCACATGGTTAGGCCAGTGAACTAAAGGTGGAACAATTATGTTGGGAAAGGCAAAAGTCTCATATGCCTTTCCCAAAAGCAAGGTGCGACTATTATGCAGTGGTGATTATTATGCCATGAAATACAGTATTTCAAAACATGTACAACTGGTCACTAAACACTATTGGCCTGACAATGAAAAACAACGGAATACAACAAAGCAGAAATATGATTGTGTGACCCCAGTCTAAACTTAATATATGAAATATTGGTTCCTTATTTCATGAAACTCTTACAAAGGTAATTCAAGCTGTCACTAGACCAAGATTAGTATTAACGAAATGTAACAGACTCTAAAAGAATCATGTCTCATACAGATAACCTGAAATACCTAGTCATTAGACACCATCTAATTAGAACCAAAACAACACATCATTTTAAACTTTGGAGCTGAGTGAAAACAGATAAAGCATTATGTGGCCTTCACACTGCATGGGTTGTCTACACTATTATCCTATCTTCTCATCGTCACAACATGAATGATCAATGCTTAATCTAATACAGGTTCAGGATTACTTATCTCAATAAAATTTGGATAGACTATCAGTGATTTATTTAAGAACACCCTTTCATATTCACTTGTTCGGTACCTAAACACTGCTTCTCAGGCAATATAACCTGGAAGACCAGAAACTTTTTTGCCAATGTCCCAGGCGGCAGCATTATATTTGCACCCATTGGCTTCCATTATTTTTTCCTTTCCTAGAACTCTGCCATGGACTAGTAGCCAACAGCTCTCTGACTGACAGACTTTGAGTATCATTGCTTTAACACACACGTATTTCTGAACACTTAAGAGTACAC